TTTTTTACCTCAAGTTGTTTAGTCCTTGCTTCAAACCGTTCGCCTTGACATCACCCACAGACCCTAACAAGTGATGCCCCTATAATTGGAGCACACCTTCCAGTCTGCCTTTTTGAAGAGGGAAACCACCACCCCAACCTGCCAATCCAGTTCCACTGCCCCCTATGTCCATGTGATGTTACAAAGGCATGTCAACCAAGACAGCCCTACAACATCCAGAGCCTTAAGGAAATCAAGGTAAATCACATCCACCTTCAAAGCCCTGCTACTGTATAGCTTTTTAACTATCTCTGTGACCTCAGCCACAACTATGGACAGACCAACCCTGAAGTCCCCTTACTCTCCTTCCTCCGTGGAAGACATTCTGGTGGAATTGAGAAGGTCCAAGAAGTATTCCTTCCACCTCCCGATGACATCACTGGTTGAGATCAACAGCACCCCACCATCACTAAACACTGTGTTAGTAAAGAGCTGCTTTTCCCTCCTCAGTCATCTGATGGTTTGCCAGAATCTCCTTGGAGCCAACTGAGAGTTTTTATCCAAAGCCTCACCAAAGTCCTCTCACATCTGAGCTTTTAGGTAAGGCTATTGACCACTTGGCCCTCCGGTACTCCTCAGCTGTCTCCAGAGTCCCATCAGCCAACAAGGCCTGATAGGACTCCTTCTTCAGCTTGACAGCCTTCCTAAACCAGGGTGTCCTCCACCGAGTTCAAGGATGGCCACTGCAAGAAGCACCGACAACCTTGCGGCCACAGCTCATGGCAACCACTTCAACAACTGAGTTGTGGAACATGGCTTACTCGGACTCAATGTCCCCCACCTCAGCTGAGATATGGTTAAAGCTCTCCTTGAGGTCTGAAGTTGAAGATCTTTCCAATGGCTTCTTCTGCCAGGTATTCCCATCAAAACTTCACTACACGTTTGGGTCTACTGGGTCGGTTAGGCATCTTCCCTGCCTTCTGATTCAACTCACTACCAGGTGGTGATTAGTTGACAGCTCAGCTCCTCTCTTCACCCGAGTGTCCAAAACAAATGGTCGCAAATCAGATGTCATGACTACAAAGTCAATCATCGCTCTACAACCTAGGGTGTCCTGGTGTCAAGTGCACTTGTAGTGAACTAAGCCTGATGTCAAAACTGGACAGAAACTGTCATTTCATTGATTTGAATCCAGAAATACAGTTTAGACCCATCCTGAGACTTTCTGTCTTGAATTAATCAAGTGGAAAAGACAATTCTCTATGATCATTACTATTTTACAAATGTTTTGATAATCAAATTGTGTTAGTTCAAACAATGTTTACATGTTGAAGTGAACTACTCATTTTTATTTACTTAAACAGTAGTAATGATTTTTATTCCTCAATTCAAAGTGAAATCAAGTTAGAGTACATTACAGAGTAATGATTCAATTTCTTGATCGTCTGCTTTGAAAGTGAGCAAAGTTGTAAGTGTGTTAAAGTTCAAGCTTCGGTCAACTAAGAAGTTTACTGAAAAGAAATGTCATGTTTAACTTTTACAG